ACACAACCACAGATACTCAAATTATCGGACGACATTTCTGCATACCGAAGTATATCACTGTCTTGATCCTTCTTTAGTTGAGAACTGAGGGATATTTACTGCTTCATTTAGATGCTTTGCAAGTGTTGTGATATGTGGACTCGGTTCTATGGGCTACTATAGCAACTAAATCGCGTCTCTAACTACTAGAAGAACACAATTCCTGCACCTGATCACTGATACTGCATTTCGCGCCTAAGAGGTACTCTCCTGGCTCACCTACTAAATAATACAGACAGGATGCCTATTTATTGTAAGCTTTAAACTCCCTAGGTACATGTATTTGCCAATTAATTCCCTTTAGAACTTCGTAGTCATTTAAAACCTGACTACACATGAATATTTTTCCTTTCTCACCGCCAAGGGACCAAATAGTCTTTTCAAATCAATCAAAGATGGTACTGTACTATAAAATTTTTTTAAAAAATCTTAGGATCCAAGAATGATGCGAATATAGATCCAGTCTTTATGCAAAGAGCGAGTGAGGTGCGGATACTGTACAAGTCCGCACGACCAGCGCCACTGCTTCCCAGGGATCAGGACCAGATGCTCAAACTGCAATGGAGAGCACCCGACAGGAAACTGGACATGACAGGCACCGCTGATTCCTCGGTCTTCCTCTCAATGACAGCAAATTTCCAAATCCTACAATTGAACATGATGAAATTCTGGGCAGGAATGGAAGCTCTCATCAACGACCACCACAGCCAGAACCTCGACCTTCTCCTAATCCAAGAACCACCTACAACCGCATACGCATCCACGATCTGGCACAACCCGCTCCGAGACAAGTTACATCTGCGACTTCTGGAGACAGTACAGAGAACAGCTCTTATCCGAATCCTTTCAGCCTTCCGCACAGTATCTACAGCTGCACTCGAAGTTGAGACCTATATCCTACCAACTCACTTGCGACACAAATAGCGAGGACAAGTAGCGTCTGCTCGGCTCAGTACTCTGTCAGATGACCATCCGATCTACGAAGTAATGAGCTGAGCAAAGGAACGCAGCACCTATAGCCGCACGGGGTCCCGCTTTCCCCTAGCCGAAACACTGCGAACCCATAAATTTTGGGCGGCTCCAGGCCTTAGAAACAATTGACCCTAAACCACTTGCGCCATGGCGGAACCAGCCTATTGCAGAAATCGCGACCGAACCCGATCGGGAGAAAGCTCAGGCCAACGCGCGGGTGCAGCAATCTTCAACAAGTATCACAGCCTTCTCTGATGCTTCAGCAAAAGGGAACCAACTAGACGCCGCAGCGGTAGCTCTTGACCACAACCGGCAGATAACGGGGTCCCGACAAATCAGCATCGGCTCAATGGAACACTGGTCGGCCTATGCGGCCGAGCTCATGGCAATCTACTATGCTATGGGGCTGGTTTTCCAACTAGCACAGAAGAAGCATGCTACAACGACAAACCAAGGCCCAGCGACAATCCTCAGCGACAGTATGTCCGCGCTGCAAGTAATCGCCAACTCATAGAACAAATCAGGCCAGCGGATCATCCAAGCTATCCATCAGTCGACCGCAGAACGTAAGGCACGAGGGATCCCACTGCGATTGCAATGGGTTCCGGGCCACTGCGGTGACCCTGGGAATGAAACAGCGGACCGTCTGGCCAAGGAAGCCATGGTTGCAGAAAAGAAACACCCTTTCCAGCATCTGCTATCGCGGAGAAAGCTTTCATCCGCAACAAGATTAAAAAGGAATGGGAACAAGAATGGAAGACCTCCAAGTACGGAGGGCACCTCCGACGCATGGATGGTGTTGTGATATGAGGCTGGTGCAGATCAGGAACCAAGCCGAACCATCGGAATTAATCCCGAAGTATGTATACGAAGAATCAACTTGATTGGAAATCAAGTTGATCTTCTCGTTGTATATATAGCCTCATGTTTCCCTCTGAATAATAATAATCAAACTTCCTTTGAATTACAACAAACCTGGTTAGAACATTTTGTCCTGGGTTCCTCAGATGCCATACGTAGGAGATTTCCTCTTCTGTTACATTGCGGTGATCCGTACTGTGGAGGCTGAACTTACGCAACTTCAAACAATTGAAAATCTCGTTGATGATAAGAGACGTCCAAGGCGGCAACATTGACGGCGTCCGCACAGAGACACACCTCGTCCGTGACATTGAGCACGTGCACCGCAGCGATCATCGAAGCATATTATGTCACCGACAATAAGTAACTACTTCCCCCATTGGCTCTGGGTCCTTTAACCGATCTTTCGCCAAATTCTCTCGTCATCGTTGTATCATCATTCCCTCGACCTTACGTATGGTCCATCACAAAGCATTGCAACGGCAGAGCTCCCGACTATTCGGCTACACATCGTATAATTAAACTTCTGGCCTCCTTTGTCTGATTCACTGTCCCTTGTATTGCGATTTCCACCCGTATACTCAGGCCATACCTTTTCCGCCATGACACCGCGACAACCCTCCACATCGGAACACTCGCACTACGACAACAATGTGCGCAAGCGCGTATGTAAAGCCTGCGATCGCTGTCGCTTGAAGAAGTCCAAGGTAAGCTCAACTCTCTCCTCCCATCAAACTCCCACGCTCTGACCGTGCAGTGTGACGGAGGCAACCCGTGCGGCCGGTGTCGCGCAAACAACACCATCTGCGTCTTTGGCGAGCGCAAAAAGGCGCATGACAAGGTGCACCCCAAAGGGTGAGCTGCATGAAGCCATTCTCTTCCCCACGATCCGCGCTAACTTCTCTAGATACGTTGAGATGCTCGAACAACAGCAGGCCTGGCTCGTCTACGGACTGCAGGAACTCTACCACCGCACCAGCGACGGCGAAGACTGGCCCGGCGAACCGCTCAAGTGCGAGGCTAACGGCCACCCGCTCACGCACGACCTACTTACCCGCCTCGGCGCCCTCGACCAGGTCAAGGGCGAGCGCTTCGAGGAAAACCCTGTCGCCATGCAGCAGGAGCTCTGGCGTCAGAACGCCGGCCACGTGCAGCGCCAGGACTCGTCCGATGCCAGCTCCGAGAGCGCCCACTCGCCAGTTGTGCCCACCGCAACCGCCGCCCGCTTCGCCGACCCATTCGCCCAGGCTCAGCTGCCGCACACCCCGCCCAATATCAGTCCCAGAGCGCGCCCTGTCAAGTCCGGGTCGCAGATGCAGTCGGCCTTTGCCGCCGCGCCGCTGGACATGCAGGGCGTCGTAAACCTCATGGTGTTGCAGGCGCCGCAGCAGCAACAGCAGCGGTCTTGGGGTGGGAATGGGTTCGGGAGGTTTGATGATATCGACATGATGGGCACGACGGATTTTACCAGCCTGTCGTTTGACGATCCGCTGTCGTCGCAGATGTTCAATCGACCCGTGCCGATTAATTGAATGTCGTATATGGATCTGAAGTACGACTACAATTTGTGAATGCGAATATGCCGGTGGTTGCGTCCACCTAGACCTCGCCAAACGCGGGTTTGGGGCGGGGTTCTGTATGGAGAAACCGCCCATGGATTTATCTGCCGCGGGCTTTCGATATTGAAGCCCGCCTGTGGGTTCTCGGCGGGTACCCATTTTATTTATTCATTCATCTATTTATTAATTCCTCAGGCTTTGCGCGGCCGAAGGCTGCATGTAGCCCCCTAGCAAGTATGTACTGGATGCAAACTACCATAGTCTCCCTTGTTTTTTTTATATTTTCTCCTCTTTTAGAACCGCCGTCTCTTATATTATTTCGCTGTCCAGTCTTCCAGTGCTCTCCACGAACCGGAGAACCTCTCGTGCCACGGGGAGGTTGGGTTTGGGTTTCCATGACAGCTCCATCAATCGGCCGGTCATCCGCGCCAAACGCTCTACTTCCCCCCCCTAGTGCCTGATATCTCCGTATCTCGACCCCATCGCCGTCCTCATCACCTGCTGGTAGGAGTCCCATTTCGGACATTGAAAGAGAAAGTGCTCAACTGTCTCGCCTTCACTCTCGTCGTCCCCACACCCACACGCATTGCTCTCGAGGTGGCCAGTCCTCTGGAGGAAGCGATTCAGCCGGACGTGCCCCGTTCGCAATTGGATTAACAGCGCCGCCTGGAGCCTTGATAGGCTGTCGTAGAGGGGTTTCGTGTGCTCTCCGGGAAGGGCGGCATATATGTTTCGCGTCCTCTGACCCACGCGTGTGGACTCGAACTCTTCCTTCGCTTGCCCGTCCAGCCTCTCGCACACTCGCCGCCCCGTCGCGGGGGCCATTTTCTATATTGTAGGTGTCCAGTGTCGGTCGCCTGGAGGACAAGAATTTCGGCTTCGCGCACTTGCCCGTGGTTCGATTCCTTTGGTGTCCAACGCATTTGAATTTGTAGCCCCTAGTCGGCCAAATTGCAGGCTGCATAATCGCCATTCTAAGTTCCTGACCGCTCTGCGGTCGCGCGGGATGGTCCAATGTTTGTAACGATGTCCGATCACTGGTACAGACCGCTACCTGAATGTTTGATGGCGCCATTCCAATCCGGGGCAACGTGCTTTCAATAGAGTCCACTGCGTCATGGATCGCCATGAGGCTTGCGAGGTGGATGTTGGTGTTGGCCGAGTCCCCGCTAATCCCGCGCATGACATGATCGTTCGGCCATGCACCCTCATCACCAGTCCGGAGCCCACTTTGCTGTTCCGTTGGACCGAGTATGTGAACAGCCAGATCCGTGCTTGGTCGGGCCTTCTCTGCAGGCCAAGAGACATATCTACACAGCCAAGGCTGCCCGTGGCCAAGCCTTAGCGAGTCCTTGCAGCTGGTGTAAAGCAGCTTCGACAGGCCTGCTTGTTCAGGCCACTGCCCCGGTTTTCAGTCTACTCAACTCCCAGTGAGCGACCTCCAGATATTAAGGCCCCGGTCAACGAGAGGGGTAAGCCATATCATTGTGTTTGTGGACGAGTTCTTGCTGACTGATTGCTTGGTTGTACAAGTCATCTCAGCAAAATCATACAAAGGAAGTATCTTCTACAGTGCCTATGTTAAACGGATTGTGAGTATCGAGAGTGACGCAATTGAGATAGTCATCTCGCTATGGTGACTCCACTTGCCAAGGACTGGAAGAGGGATCTAACTTTCCTAATTACTACATAGCAAATTTAGGAATCATCGAGCCGGCGCATTATGCGGGGACGAATGAGCCAGACACCGATGTATACTTCTGCCTGAGGCACCTACGGACTCCGGCCGAAGGGGTGAGTAAGCTGGTGAACAACCCGACACGCAATTCTCTCCCGACTCTATATTCCCGGCGCCGGACAAAGCCCCCTCCGCTGTTGAGTTGCTTTCACTCGATTATCGGCTGAGTAGTTCTTTCGAAAAGGGATGGAGGAAACGATAGCCGAATTACGACGCCAGATTGAAGAACAACAAAGGCTGCGAGAAGCGGCAGAGCGCCGTGAGGAGGAGGAGAGACAGGCGCGAGAAGACGCTGAACGTCGAGTGCAACC